AGCCGGGAACAGGGAAGCGGGCACAGCTCTAGTCCAGTGTGGAGCAGTCGGGACTGAGAAGCGGGCAGAGCTGCTGGACTTCTTGGCTATAGGAAGTGCTTAAGCCAGCCAATAAAGAAGGTAGAAATGAAGGCTGAAGAGATAGCTCAGCTGTTAAGAACACTGGCTTCTCTTCCAGAGGACACAAGTTCAGTTTCCAGAACAGGGAGCCCAAAACTGCTGGGTAACTCCAGCTCCAGGGGCTCTGACACCGTCTTCTGACTCCAGAGGCACTGGCAAACGTGACAACACTGACCACAGCACCCACTTGTAAGTAAAAATAAATCTTGAATAAAGAAAGAATAGAGCTAGCACTATTCTACCTGTGGCCAATTCCAGTCATATTCTTCTTTTGTCAAACAAAGTTTTATTTGAATATTGTCATTATTTTGTAAATAAAGCTTTATTGGAAAACAGCCCAGCTTATTTATATCCAGGTTATTAGCATGAGCACAGCTGACAAGTTGCCCAGGACACGGAGTCTACACAACTTCAAAGGGCTTCGTAGAGAATGTTAATAAATCCCTGCTGCACATCCTTGAGGGAAACAGGCAGTGGATGGTGGGCTGTTTTCTCCCTGCTGCTGAGCTGAGATCTGCTTATCAAGAGACAGGAAAGGACCCAGTCTCAGGCTGCAGACAGGCCACTGGGTGACAGGGCCTCTGCTGGAGGCAACATGAATCATGTGATGAGCAAGGAGGAAATACGGAGAACTGGAGGGACACATGGCAGAACTCACATGACAACTGGAGGGGACACACAGAGCTATCTGCTGACAGGCCTCGGCTCCCTTTGATGGCCCCTCCCCTTGGACCGCCATACCACAAAGCATCACATCACAGCTTCTCACCGGGGTGGTCAAAGCAAGCAGGTCTCTCAGAGTATACTGCTCAGTTTCAACCTCAGAAACAGGAGTGGGTCTTAGCAATCAGGTCGAATACTGAGAGGCCGCTAACCGACCACAAGCCTTAATCAGTTTTCACTGGCCTTGATGTTACAAAGTTATTCAGTTCCCACTGGCCTTCAGCATCTGCAATGTTACAAAGTTACTCAGTTCTCACTCTCACGGGCGTTTAGTGGCCGTGATGTTACAAAGTTACTTAGTTCTCAATGGGCTTCAGCGGCCTCGACGTTACAAAGTTACTCAGTTCCCACTGGCCTTCAGTGGCCTTGATGTTACAAAGCTACTTAAAAAGCATAGAAGACCTCTATCAATCATTTTACTTAATGTCCTCCAAATCTGAATCTATTATACTTTTCTGATACATAAAACACAGAAATCAGTAACAATAAAATTGTGTCACAAACCCATAATCCAGATGTGCTGTGTAAATAGAAAAAAGCAAGCTACCTAGAAGCGAGCATTTGAGTACATGTTAAGGGGTCTCATTTTATGCGGGTAGAATACCATATAACATGTTATCAATTGATAGAACAAAATTAGAAAGAAATTCACTACTGATTTCTGTGGTTAAAATTAACAAATGTGCTGAGTTCTAAGTGCTGCATGTGCCACCCCAAAGATAACACAAGCACCCCAGTTTCTACTCACTGGTCTGAGGAACGGCTTCTGGACTTGCTTGGTGAGGAGATGGAACATGTCCACGGTTTCAGTTGCCAGCGCAAGATAAGAACGTGAAACGCGCTCATCCTGAGCAAGCTGAGATTGCCGGGCCTGCTGCTGATCCTAGGAAACACCAAATGGTTGCCAAAGAAATTTCAGTACCAGCCACCTGCTCATAAAAATGTCAAGTGCAAAGGAAAAACATGACTGGCTTACACCCTAGAGTGTGATAAAGCCACAGTACTCTGGGAAGGAGGAAACGACCACACCACCAGCACACTGTCCAGACAGCTTCCAGACACGTAGTATGGTGGCCTTGGATTACAACCCAGGACCCGGCACATGCTAAGCACAGGCTCTACCACTGACCTCTACCTCAGCCCTAGCCTGTTACTGACTGTGGGATTTCCCTCCATATGCTGTGAATACCATTGGTGAATAAAGAAACGGTCTTGGCCTGTTAATAGGGCAGAAGTTAGGTATACTGGGGAAAACTAAACTGCATGCTGGGAGGAAGGAGTGAGGAGAAGCCATGTAGTCCCTGCCAGAGAAAGACACCGGACAGAACTTTCCCCAGTAAGCCACAGCCATGTGGCAATGCACAGAATAGAGATGGGTTAGTTTAGGATATGAGGTAGCCAGAAATACACTTAAGCTATTGGCCAAACAGTATTGCAAATAATATGGCTTCTGTGTGATTATTTCAGGGCTGAGCAGTCAGGAAACAAACAAGCGACCTCCTTACTATAACTGACCTCATGAGAACAGCCACACTGAGTTTCAGGAAGGATGACTCAGACTATCGGAGTACCTGATGCACACACTGGAGCTACAGAGAGGGTTCACTCCCCTTAAAAACAACTTTCACTTAGTCATCAACATTAAAAATATTGAGACTAGGGTTGGAGAGGTGGCTCAGTGGCTAAGAACACTGGCTGCTCCTGCAGAGGACCCTGGTTTAACTGCCAGCACTCACATGGTGGCTCACAACCACCAAGGGATTTGAGGCCTTCTGGCCTCCACTGGTACCAAGTATGCATGTGGTGTAAGCTTGCACATGCAGGCAAACATACACGCAAGTGCCTGCTGATGGCTCCTGTGTGAACTGCGAGACTCGGCACCGTCAGCTGCCATTCTGTACAGCTCCAGCATGCTTACCTACGGCACCATCCTTTGCCCCCATCCTGCCACAGACCAGGAAATCAGATAGGAAACAGACTTTGATTCACGGGGAAAAATCAGTAGAGCAATGAAGGCTTTGCAGCCAGCTCATCAGCTATGACTTACTCATTTTTTGAGACAGGGCCCCATGCAACACAGGCTGACCACCAAAAAGCTACATGGCTAAGGAAGACCTGGAAGTTCTCATCCTACAGCCTCCACCACGCTAGTGCCAAGATCACCTGCGCATGCCACTACACTCAGTTTAGCAGATCTGTGTGTGCATGTTCACATGTGTAGGTAATGCAAGTCAAGGCCAGAGAATAACCTTACTCCTGGACTATTCCCAACACATCTTTTCTTTGGTTTGTTTGTTTGTTTGTTATTGTTTTTTAAAACAGTTTCTTTCACTGGCTTGGAACTTGCCAAGTAGATAAGGCTAACTGGCCCCAAGGAGTATTAAGCAGTAGAATTACAATTGTGTGCTACCACACAGCTTCCAGGTCTTTTTTTTTTTTCCAGGGGAGGGGCGGGACAAACATCTGGAATAGCTGCTATAGGCCAGTGAGCACCCTTGGGATTGGTGCTGCAGTCCGTGCCTGGTAGAGACTCTGCAGTAAGGATGGGGAGCTGCCCAGCTCTTCAGTCTAGAATGAGCCTATTGAGAAAAGGCTGCATTAGGAAAGACACAGCGAGAGCCAGGCCTCAGTGTCCTCAGTGTCAATCTGAGTGCCAGCTCCTTCATTTGTAAACACTCTGTGGGCTCTGACATAGGCTGGAGCAAGATAGACGAGGAAAATTAGGGGAACACTTACTTTACAACCAGCGAGAAGCCCGCAACTTTATTACAACTGATCACACAAAATCATCTATCGAGATCAGTGCTCTAACAAGACACCCCAAAGATGATATAACAACAAACCTTTCATGCTTAGGGCCAGAATGTGTGTGGCCCTGAGTATAACTGTGCTAGCCCTTCTCTTTCATCCTGAAATTTAAGCAGCGGACCTCACAAAACCACCTCACAGTTACATTTATAAAAGGTAATTCTTCTAAGATGAGAGAAATAGCAAACCAGTTCATCCACCCCACCCATCATCCACCCATCCATCTATATATACATATTTATTTATTTTTTTAATGTGAGCATATTATGCCTAGATGAATGCCAGTGTACTCTGTACCCGTGGAGGTCAGAAGAGGGTGTTGGATCCCCTTGAACTGGAGTTACAGACAGCTGTAAAGTGGCATGTGGGTGCTGGGAGACAAGCTTGAGTCAACTCTCCAGCTCCTGGTTCATATGTTTTTATTTAAATTTAAAAAATAAACTTTGTGTTTTGCAAATTACAGCACTGTAACATATGCTACAGAAACACAATCTCCATTTTACAAACATCTAAGGTCAAAGGCTAGGTGCACAACCAAAACTATGAAAATAAGCTGGCTGTTGCCTGGTGGTGGTGGTGGTGGCAGCGGCGGCAGCAGCAGTGGCGCACGCCTTTAATCCCAGCACTCGGGAGGCAGAGGCAGAATCTCTAAGTTCAAGAGTAGCCTGGTCTATACAGTGAGTTCCAGGACAGCCAGGGCTACACAGAGAAACCCAGCCTCAAAACAAAACAAAAAAGCAAAAACAGAAAACTCCTAACACACCCTTCAACCAGACACCTAGAAAGGCTGACAGTGACGGTGAAGGATTAGGGAGGCTTTGGAGAGAGAAGAGTGGTATCGGGGTCACAACAGTCTGTATGCACAGCACTGTAGGAAGAGGGGACAGCAAGTGCAAACAGGAAGAGCTGAGAAGCCAGTGTAGGAGTGGGGCAAGAGGAGGCGAGTTCGGGGGGGGGGGGTATCCCTATGCTATGTGCACCAGAAAGGGTGGAGGCTGGGAGCCCAAGACTGCACTGCAATTACCCAGGCCAAACAGAATGGTGACTAGTAGACACAGAAAGGTCACACACCCTTACTGACCTTCCTGCCTCCGTAGCCGGAGTACTGTAATGGCAGGTATAGAACCATATCCAGCTTAACCCAAAGCTCCATGCATGTAGGACAAGCACTCTACCAGTGAGAGCTTTAGCTCACGGAGATAAAAGCCTCGAGATGGGGGAGGGGGCAGAGAAGAAATAAGACAACCCGGCAATCGGTAGAATGAAGCTGCCATTTGTTATGGTTGTAGACTGGAACTCAGGAGATTTAAAGGACAACATGGACAAGCCAGAATTGAGAGTCATGCACAGCCGAACGGCAGAGCAAGCCAGCACTGCTCAGAGGTCTGTGGGCAGAAGTGCTCTCAGCAGTGGAGCTGCACTTGCCATCTTTAAAATAGCACTGGAAAAGATGAGATCACCTGGCAGGGACTTCAAGCAGAGTCATCAGAGAATGTGCAGGTGTATTTGGCTGTGTGAGGAGTGGGGGTAGGTGTGTTGGGGAGGGGTTGGAGTATAATGATGACAGAGACAGGATAACACGGGCAGACACATCACTGCTGTGAAATGAACACAGTGTCAGGCACAGATGCTTATTATAGAGTTTGCTACGACACCAGGTAACAACGCTTCAATATGCTTCAGCATCCTGCTGGTACCACACTGAGAAACGCTACCCAGGGGAAGGGTGGGGAACACTTAGAAGAAGCAGAGGCCTGAGCCCTAAATCTACCATTGCTCAGAGGTTGGGGGATGAGGAAGCGGAAGGCAGGCAGCAACCTCTGATCAAAGCTCAAGGAAAAGTGGTTTGTAAAAAAGCACCTTCGAGACACTTGTGCCTTTAAAAACCCATTAAGAGAAGAATCAGTAGTATTTGTTGCCTCAAATAAATACACTGACTGAGATAAAGAGAACGCGCTTCAGGTCCAGAGACCAACTAAGAGGTCTCCACTAGGCAGCACGGGAGGGTTTACAAGCAGGGTTTGGACAGAAGGGGGAGTATTTTCACACATTAAGGACAGGACACCTGACGCTTGGGAAGAGCAATGAAACACTAGAACACCGCACATTGAAGCTAGGTCTGTCCTGGGCTACTGCTTACAAGGTCCCTGCAGGTCACAGACCCAGCCCACCTTGAATGGAAGAGCTGAGGCTCTTGTGATTTGCCTTATCTGGTTTCTCAGCATGGTTTGAACAGTTTGGAGCCTGATTGGAAGCTAAGGCACACTGGGGAAGGCAAAGGGCAGCAGGGCCATGTAGATTCTACCCCAAGAAAGATGGGAGCAAACAGATGCAGAGCGTCTAGAAATGAGGCAGAGCAACAGGCAGAAGACACGCAGTGGGGCAAACGTGATCCAGTGGAAGAGCTGCACTAACTCAACAGTGTCAGAGGCAAGGGCTGTGGGGAAACAGGGAATCAGGCAGTCATGGACACCCAGGCAGAACCCTTTGGAAGCGACAAGATGTGAAATTCTCATCAAAGCTGCAGGAATACTTGTAATGAAAAGCTTCCCTACACTGGGGTATGGTAGTACACACCTTTAATGTTAACTATCAGAGGGCGGAGGCAAGTAGATTTCTATGAGCTTCAGGCCAACCAGAAACCAGGGTCACAATGATACTCCACCTTGGGAGAGGAGGAGGGGGGGAAGAGGAGGATTCCCCCAAATGTCCTTCAGTGCCCTATAGTGAAGACACTTTTGACTTCACAACAGGATGTCAGTCCGCATTGTCACTGTGAGCTCAGGCCCCACAGGTATCTCAAAGGGCAGACCCTAGGGGAAGTGACTCTGGGTCTGCTAGGTGTCAGAAGAGGGCAGTGGACTGTTACTGGTACAGCATGAATTTATCATGGAACTTTGCAACTAGGCCTTTTTCTAATAGCAACTGAATGGGAAAACCAAGAAAAAGCTCCAACAGAATCCTAGGAGATTCTCAGCCATCTACAGAAGGCCATGTGAACAAACCCAGCAGACAGAAGCCTGGAGATTTATTTCCTGGCTACCACACAAAACATAACACACACAAAAATGCCTCTAAACAGTCCTTTAACTAAAAGGCAGGGGAAGTGTCCACAATGCATTGGGAAAGGCTTCCCATTTCTCATTTTTTGGATTTAAGATTTTATATTAAAAATATGTTGGTGGCTGGTGTAGGAGGTCCTTTGGTTTATGTGTTGCTTTCGTTGGTTAAATAATAAAGAAACTGCTTGGCTTGATAGGGTAGAACTTAGGTAGGTGGAGAAGACAGAACTGAATTCTGGGAGAAAGAAAGCAGAGAGAGAGAGAGAGAGAGAGAGAGAGAGAGAGAGAGAGCGAGCGAGAGAGCGAGAGAGCGAGCGCGCGCACAAGCGAGCTGTCATGGAGCCACCAGGTGAGACATGCTAAATCTTTCCCGATAAGCCATGACCTCGTGGTGATATACAGATTATTAGAAATGGGTTAAATCAAGATGTGAGAGTTAGCCAATAAGAAGCTAGGCAATAGAGGCCAGGCAGTGTTTAAATGAACACAGTTTCTGTGTGATTATTTTGGGTGTAGGCTAGCCGGGTGGCCAGGACAAATAAAAGGACCAGCTCTCCCTGTATCAGGTGGCTTCAGAATTCAGAACATCCCCACAGGACAAGCCTATGTACTACTTCTGAGCTTTACCTTCACCCTCTGAAATTATATACTGACACATACATAAGTTTTTGTTTATACAAATATGTGTATGTGTTGAATTTATGTGCATTACATGTGTGCAGAAGGCATGAACCATCAAAAATGACTTAAAGGCAGCTGTGAACTGCCAGATGAGGATGCTGGGAACTGAACTTGGGTCTTGGGGAAGAGCTGTAAGTGCTCTTAACTGATGAGCCACCTCTCTTGTTCTCCACACTGGACTGTTTTTGAAAATGAGAATCTGGATTTGAGGGGAGGCCTGACAGCCAGTCTGAGGATAGGAAGGAACATTCTTGCCTGAAACTCAAGCAGAAAATGATTTTTTTCTCCCCAGGGGCTAGGGGCAGAACTAAGGATCAAATTCAGGACCTTAAGCAGGTTATGCAAGCCCTCGACCACTGAGCCACATCCTCCACCCCACTCTTAGCTGTCTCCTCGCTCAAACCTGAAATGGTACTTCGTGGAAGCCCACAGGCAGGAAAGTCCTAGCAACTCAATCTGGTGTCTCCAGGCAGCCCTGCAGGTGCAGCCCCGGAGCCAGCCAGAGGCACACTCTGCAGCGCTGTGCAAGCACCAAGGCCGCCCTACCCGAGGCAACTGGTCCCACTGCTCTTTGTTCTTCATTTCCTCTTGCACTTCATGAATCCGCTTCAGTGACTCCAGACTCTCGTCCAGCAGAAAGGTCGTGTCATTTATCAGCATATTGATGTAGCGAACGAACTGCTTTCCAGAACTGAAAGGGCAGCGAGACAGTGCGGTTACACATGTGGCCGGTCACTGAGAACGTGAGCCTCCGCCAAGCACCAACGGGATCACCTGGGAGACTGCAGGCCCTGCACATACACACTCCTTAGACTTCACTATTGTCTTTCTTGTTGCTACTTTGTTTTGTTTTAAGAAGGGTCTACACAGCCCAGGCTGATCTCATACGACTCTCCTGCCTCAGCATGACAGAGGTAAGACAACAGTCATGAGCCACTAACTCCAGCCCTACTATTCTTCCTAATTCACTGTGATAAGTTCTTTCGAGTAGCATGCTGGACCAGCCCTGTAATGGCTGGTATGAACCAACTGCTAAATATTCCAGAATGTTCTGTGCTGATTTCCTTGGCAGTTTATATCTGGCAACAATGTATATAGTTATACCATGGAGAAGCAGCAAATGCTGGAATTCCTCCTGCTCACAGCACAGCGCCAGCTCACTGCTCAGTGTTTGTAAGTAGAGGACACACTCTCACAGGCTGGGAAGGGAATGGGTTTGACTCGGTGTGACAAAGCCAGCACAGACTCACCCAACACAGAAGACAAGAAATTACGGAGAGCTATTCCTTATTGCAGAGAAGACTGACAGACAAAAACAAGTCCTGTCACATTGGTAAAGGAAGACAGGGACTCACTGCATAGAGGTCAAAGCTTTGGGTCTAGGGAGACCCTGCCGACTACACCATGGTGAACTGGAACAGTCTGGCCTATCTGCTAAGTCCTGAAACTAACAAATCTGTGGCAAAAGAAAAGACCCACACAGGACCCACCAAGTGTACTTAAGGGTAGGAAGCCCATGCTGGGGAAGAGGGAACTTTGTGAACAAGGACAGGTCTCAGGAATGTGGGGACACTAGGACATTCATTTCCAAAAAGCACCATCGAGCGCAAGCTGGGGACCGCCTGGAACCTAACTGATCAGAAGAGCAGCTTAACTTAGTTTACCTGGGAGAAGCTGCCCTGTGGGCAGGGAAGCTGCTGTGATGTCAACTAGTAGCTCAGTTACCACAAAGATCTGACACACGACAGACAAAACTTCCTTTGAGGAACAACACAAGGGTTTGATGTTTGTACTCACCTTTCTTCCTTCAGAGGAATTACTACTGGCCAGGCTTAAACAAGGCCCCGCAGTTTTAAGCTGGCACATGAATAGTTATTAACATGGCTTGGCACCTACGCACACCAAGTGAACATTAAACAGCAACCTTAACCTAAGTGCTTCTAAATCTTGTTTTCTCAACATTTCTGGGTCAATCTGACAGCTTCATTTAACAGCATATAATAAAGAAAACACAAGAGCCACTTTACATGCGCATTTCCCAGAACATTCCCTCATATAAGCCACTCCTAGGGTTGACAACTTTGAGGAAGCAGACAATTAGAATAGGGGCCACATCGAGTGCTTCCCGTGGCTCCTTGTAGGAGACTGAAGCCAGGCAAACAGTCACAGAACCTGCTGCAAAAGCTTTCAGCAGCTCCCACCTGAGCTCTCCCACCAGCAACCAAGCTGCGTGCGCTATCAGGGCCCAGTACTCACTTGAACTCCTCCATGAAGGTGCCATGGTGAGCTATGTTTTGCCAAAGGCTCTTAAAAATAGTGCTAATGTGATAGCGAATCGTGAACTTGTCATAGAACTCGCTGGTGGCTCCGGTATGCTCGACATCTATGGAGGAAAGACATTTGTCTTTTATGACCTTCCAGATGCAGTTACCACAGCAACAGGAAGACGGCAGAGCTGGCAAACACTGCCCATGTCTCCCGTGGAAAGCATAGGAGAAACCATGACTTCATTCCCCCAACTCTTCTTTTAATTAATTAACTAATTTGGTTTTTCAAGAAAGGATTAATCTGTGCAGCCCCGACTGTCCTGGAACTCGCTCTGTAGACCAGGCAGGCCTTGAACTCAGAGATCCTCCTGTCTCTGCCTCCTGAGTGCTGGGATCAAAGCCACCAATTGGCTTCTTTCTTTTAAAAGACTGTGTGCCACTACATAGCCCTGGACATCTTGGAAGTCAGAGAGTCACTTCCCTCTGCCTCCCAGAGTGCTGGGATTAAAGTGTACTTCTCCCCCATAACTTGACTTTAAAGATCAAGGTTTCATGACATCAGCCTGCAGTGGATGCAACGGCTACACAAATGTGGGAAAGACAGCATCTAGCTCAACGACGATAAAAACTCTTCTATCACATCGCCATCCCATTTTATGCTGTTAGTTTAAATTAAGGAAATTCTAGAGCAGTTCATGTATGTATCTCTGAGAAGAAAAAATAGACTAAATTTTCTATGTACCTATTACATGTCTATTATTTTAAACATTTCTGTGTCAGACACATTTTCCAAGCACATCCTCAAGTAGAGAAATGCACGGTGACTGCCCCCACACTCACGACTTGTACCATCAGCACTCCTGTGATGTAAGCCAGGTGGGAATCAAACCAGGATATGCAAATGCCTAATAGCATACGCTATTATATTCCAAATTCATTGTGGATTTCAAAAAGGAGAAAAACTGTCAGGTAAAGACAGTTATGGGACGGGCAGTGGTGACACACGCCTTTAATCCCAGTGCTCGGGAGGCAGAGGCAGGCGGATCTCTGTTGCAGGATATTTGATCGCACTGTGACACCCTAGACTGTATTAGTATTAACCTTGAATTGGGGACAAAGCCAACAACGAGCTAACTGGAATTAGCCATAGAAAGTCGGGAATACAGATAGAGAAGACACACAGGAAGGAATAGGGAGGGACTCAGATTTTGTGGCTCTGCAATCTGGGAAGTGTGGAGAGGTCAGCTGGTTGCTCCTCCACCTTTAGATTCTTTGACCTCTCAGGTTCACACCTGGTACTTGATTCCTGGGTCTTTATTGGTAACAGAACAACTTAAATAAGTACTATATACTGGGCGGTGGTGGCGCACGGCTTTAATCCCAGCACTTGGAGTCAGAGGCAGGAAGATCACTGAGTTCAAGGCCAGCCTGGTCAACAAGAGCTAGTTCTAGGACAGGTTTCAAAGTTACAGAGAGACCCTGTTCTTAGAAAATCAAAACCAAAACAACAACAACAACAAAACAACAAAGCTGTATGAATTTGACGCCAGCCTGGTCTATAGCGTGAGTTCTAGGACAGCCAGGACTGTTACACAGAGAAACATTGTCTCGAAAAACAAAAAGTAATAATAAGACTGAAAAGAAGTGAGGATTTGAGAAAACAGGCACACTGCACATGGGGGTGGTGGGAGGGGAGACGACAAACAGTGACATAACCCATTTAAGACAATCTGGTAGCAGGTGTGGTGGCACACACCTGTAATCTTTGCACTGAGAGGCAGAAAGTCAGGAGCTCTTGGAAGTCAGTCTGGGCACATGGGACTGTCTCAAATGTAACAACCCCCAACCTCAACAGTTTCACAAACTGTAGCACAACAATCAGCATGCTTTCCACTGGCCTACCGACTACTCCAGAAAAAACTCACAGGTTTGGACAGAGACCAATTTCCAAGCATGACCATCAAAATACTGCATCTGTTCTTACTTGTTATTTTATTTTATTTTATTTTTTTGGGGGGGAGAACAGAGTTTCTCTGTATTGCTTTGGAACCTGTCATGGAAGTAGCTCTTGTAGAGCAGGCTGACCTTGAAATCACAGATATACCTGCTTCTGCCTCCCAAGTGCTGGGATTAAATGTGTGCACCACCACTTCCCAGCCTTGTTTTTATACTGGGGATTGAAGCCAGGGCCTTGAGATGCTAGGCAATTGCTCTACCACTGCACAGAAATACTGTTTTGGGCTAGGGGGAAAAAAAGAGCAATCCAAATGTTTAAGAGACAATATTACACACACTGGCTGAAAACCAGAGACTACAAAAATAAATGCACATTTTAGGCAGAATGACAGTTTTTTAAAATGACCGAGAGACAGCAAGATGGTTCAATAAGAAATGTTTGCCGCCAGGCCTGAAGACCCGAGCTCAATCCTCAGGATCCACATGCTGGAGGGACAGAAATGAACCTGCAATTTGTTCTCTGACCTCTATTCATGCAACACACACACACACACACACACTCACACACCAAAAATAAAAAATATAACAGATTTGTAGTAAAGTATTACAGACTCTGAGCACATAGATGATGGGGGACATCTAAATTCTGCTCGGCACGGTCTTCTGTAGTGCTGTGGGTTGAACCCAGGGCCTGGTACATATCACACTATCATTTTAAACACTAACCCCCGCCTTTCTTCCTATTTTCTGTATTTTCCAAAATCTACAATTTGGGGGGGGGGTGAAAACCTGTTATCTAATAATTAAGGAAGAGACTAAGCCACTCCTCCCGTGCTAAGATCTGGAGACTAAGCCACTCCTCCCGTGCTAGGACCTGAAGTATTTGTGTGCACGCACTAAGCTGGCTCTTCTCTGGAAGAACCAAGTACCATTTTATTGTGCACAAATATGAACGAAGGTGTCAGCAGTGACCCAACCAAAGCTTGCAAGGGACAGAAAACCAGTAGCCCACGTACCTCCATTATCACCTAAAGCTGCCCGTTCTAGGCTGCATCCCAGACACACCAAGCTAAGCCACTAGTGTTAGTTCACTGCCCACCAGCACCACCTCTCCCAGCATTTCTGGTTTTTTTATTTGCTCCTAAAGTTTCCTCAAAATCACCCCCACCCGGGGCTGGAGAGATGGCTCAGAGGTTAAGAGCATTGCCTGTTCTTCCAAAGGTCCTGAGTTCAATTCCCAGCAACCACATGGTGGCTCACAACCATCTGTAATGGAGTCTGGTGCCCTCTTCTGGCCACCAGGCATACACACAGACAGAATATTGTGTACGTAATAAATAAAATAAATATTTAAAAAAAAAAATCACCCCCACCCAGGTTCTAATTTCCAAGTTTTAGCTCTAGACTTGACCCTTGCTAAACTCACAAACCTCATCCTCTCTCAGCAAGGCTTCTTTTTTTCTTTCAGAAAGAGTCTCACTATGTAGCCCTGGCTGTCCTGGATCAGGATGGCCTTGAACTCACACAGAGATCCATTTGCCTCAGCCTTCTGAGTCTGGGATTAAAAGCGTGCGCCACCATGCCCAGCTTGTACAAAGCTTCCTGCTACCTTCTTTCCAGATTCATTTTACTGCTCTCTTTTTCTGCCATTCTGCGGCTGAGCTCTACTGAGGCTCACACCTGTAACACTCTGCGGCTGAGATCTACTGAGGCTCACACCTGTAACACTCTGCAGCTGAGATCTACTGAGGCTCACACCTGTAACACTCTGCGGCTGAGATCTACTGAGGCTCATGCATCTATTGGTCTGCAGCTGAGATTTATCATGTTGTACCACTCCGCAACTGCGACCTACTGAAGCTCACGTTTGTATCACTTCCTCAGACCTTCCCCAGTCAGTGTTCTTGAAGTACCCCATTTTCTTTCTCCCACACCTACTGTCTCCAGCTCCTCCAAATCTCCCATGTCTGCCTCCCAAATGAGGGATCTGAGTCCTCCCACAGAAGTCCCAACACAAATATTTGCTGAATATTTAGTGACAGACTCTGCCCTGGCTGCTGCTTTGTACAGCCAGTCAGCTCTGGGGAAGGGGAAGCCTGGAAAGATGTCTAGCTCCATCCACAGACTTCCTTAAGGAAGGCTGTTAGGATACACAAAAACCCTCTTATTTTGAAATAAGACTGTGTGTAAGTATTTGCTAAGTGCAGAACACTGTAGCCTGAGAGGTGCTGGCTCCAGCAATCTATCTACAGCTCTACAGCCCATCTTAGGGCGGCCTGTTCAGGAGCAGGATCTAACGGGGAGGTCCTGATGTGGTGCGGCATAGATGTGGGGAGTTATCTGAGTTATCTGGGAGGTATCCTGCAGGCTCACAGCTCTTGTAAGCAGTCAGGCACACTTGAGCTGGAACCCAGCTGCTGGGCACCTGCCACTCACTAGCCAGTGACCTTCAGCAAGTTTCTTGACCTTCCTAAGCTCAAGTTTCCTCATCTGTAAAGTGGAGGTATTTATAGTGCCCATCTCTGCGACAGTTATGTGGCTCAAATGGAAAGCGACCATGAGCGGCAACTATTTTTAGGAAAGGTATCGTCTATCCACACTGCTCCAGGATAAAGGGAAAGAGCAAATAATACTGACGCACATGCTTCTTAAGTGTGCTAGTGTGCTCGTTCTTGCTTTCTCTCTTTCACACACACACACACACACAAATTTATCATGAAGCTACAATAACATGCCCAGACCACCAACTGAATACTAATTATACTTAACAAAATCTATTATAAAATACTAACACATCATCTCCTATGGAATGTGGTTATTACTTGAATTTTCTACACTTTTCCTTTTTGAGACGGGGTCTCACTATAAATCCCTGACTGGCCTAGAACTCCACTGTAGACCAGACTGGCCTCCAACCTGCAATGTGCAACCTGTCCTGAATACACACCTAAATAGCATTTGCACCTAAGTATCCTGAGCTAATAATCCTGACCATGGCTATGAGATCAAAAGATTTATACCCCAAAGGGGGCCTTTTATCCATCAGTACACTGGACTATCTCCAAAGGAAGGATGCTAACAAAATATCTAAGACAATGTGTGCTTATTTTAGACTTCTGAGAATCTGAGTAGGCTGAAGGGAAATCTCATCAGATGGAACAAAGTAAGAGTGAGGAAGGGAAAAGGAGGCAGTCGGGTTCCCAACAGGCTACTGTTCCTGAGCTGGGCATCCTCAAACAGGTCGCAGGTTTAGGTTTACATTCACTCTGAAACAACCTTGTCTGTCATATAACCACATGCCAGAAGGCACCCTCTGGAACCTACCTGTATAAAATTTCATGAGGGAAGGTACCAGCAATTTGGTAGAGAGAGGATGGTTCTCAATCATCTCAAAAAACTTCTGAGTTCGAGGCTGGACAGAGGGGTTGGTCATAAACATGACCTCCACCAGTTTGGCCACTAGGTATGGGTTGCGGATGTAGTTCTGGTTGCACAGCATCACGACAAGGAACATCACAATGTCCTGAGTGCAGGGCTCATACAGCACCTGGGGCGAGTATCTAAAGAGAGACAAGGACACTCCATCAACGCCCGGGGAACCATGGAAGAGTTTGCTAGCAGGAAAGAAAGGAGCGCGAGAGGGCACAGTGGAGGAAGACAGGCACTGGGTCCCTTTGGATGGCTCAAGTGACATGCTCGCTGGACGCAAAGTCTAATGTGTGTGCTGGCTGCAGCATGCTATATTCACTGCGCTTTAGAAAGGAAGCTAAAACATGACTGAACTTCTTCACAAAAAGACCTTCATGCCAGGCAGCAGTGGTGCATGCGCTTAATTGTAGCACTCGGGATGCAGAGGTAGGCGGGAATCTCTGTGAGTTCAAACCCAGTCTGGTCTACAGAGCAGTGAGTTCCAGGACAGCCAGGGCTACACAGTGAAACCCTGTCTCGAAAAATACAAAACAAAACAAACAACAACAACAAAAGATCTTCATATTTTAAAAATTCACATATTTAATTTTTAAAAGGGTCTCAAACAGCTCCAACAGGCTTCAAATTCACTATATAGCTTAGACTGCCTTTGAACTTGTTATCTTTTGTCTCGACCTCCCAAGTACTGGGGTTATAGGAATGCATGACCATGCCCAGCTTTAAAAAGATTTTGATGGAGCTGATGTTTAACTTCAACTTCTAAGGCCAGCAAGATGCTGAATCTGGTACAGGCACTGACACCTAAGTTCTGTCTCCAGAACACATACAGCAGCAGGAGAGGACCAATTCCCACAGGAGAAGCTGGATAGCAAGCAAGGTCCAAATGCAGACACAGGAATAAATACATGTAATTTAAAAAATTTAAATAAAATGTTTTAATTTTAAGAAATAAAAAATTCCAAGTACATGTCTATATTACTGTGTTTGGAATAAATGACTGAAGCTACTTAAATTGTAACACTGGATTTACTTAGCAACCATACTAAAACCTTTAATCACCCTTTAAATTTCTTACCATTCAGAATTCATGTATCACTATTGACTGGGCCTGTCTGGGAATAGTTTTTCTGTTCTTTTGTTGTCTGAGGATGGTCTCTTTATGTAGACCTGGCTGGCCCAGAATAATCCTCCTGCCTGAGCTTCCAGGTACCGAGATTACAGGTGTGGGACACCATGCTCAGGTGTGGATAGCTTTTAAGATAGTAACTCAACTTGCTTTAATTTTGGATTTTGGTTGTTACTAGAAAATTTTTGCAATTTATACTCTGGGCAATGAGTCTATGCTGCTTTTGCCTTTTTAAATTAAATACTTATTTGTTTATTTATTATATAGACAGTGTTTTGTGTGCATATATAGCTGTACGCCAGAAGAGGGCACCTGATCTCATTACAGATGGTTCTCAGCCACCACGCAATTGCTGCGAACTGAACTCAGGACCTCTGCGAGAACAGCCAGCTCTTATCAGCTGTGCCATCTCTCCAAGCCCCTGCTTTTGCTTTTGTAAACAGACTTCACACACATCCCACTGTACCCTAGTACTGTTTCCACGTTATAGTGATGTATCTAAAGCAAAAGGTGAAGAGTTTTATTTGGTTTTGGTTTTCTTTTGGCGGTTCTGGGAATCAAATCTAGGCAGATAGGTGAAGACTTGAGCCCCTGAGTGAGTATTGTAGGAAAACAAAAACAAAAATTCAAACAAAAAACTAAACTCTCTGAAATATTAGACAAGGTGCAACCTTTCCTTTACACCTTCTCCAATTTTACAAACATCTGGTTTTGATGTTCAATGGGACATTTCTAAGGAGCGCACTCAACTGTCGCCCACTCATCTCAGGTCTCGGGTCTCAGGTCTCTCACCACCTACACTGCTCATCCCGCTTCTGTTCTGGAGATGGCATTGGAATCAGCTGCTGCTGAACAGGGTTTAATTCTCCAATTTCTGAGCAGCACTTGGGTAAAGAAAGTTACCCAGCCCCAGGTTTAAATGAAGGTTCGAAACACAGCTCATAGCACCATGTACAGTGTATAAGCAGAACATACATATATTAAGTACTTACTGTACAATAAAAAATAAAAATTCAGCAACATCTTCTACATAAAACTCAGGCAATGCTGCAAATGCCTTGGGGACATCTGAACTTAAAGGCAGTGTTACGCTGTGAAAGAGGAAAGAAAAAGAAAAAGCACAATTTACAAACTGGAATCATGGCATGTTGATTACAAGGGGTGTGATACCAGTAAATACCTCATTTTGGAAAGAGAAGCCCTTCCTGTGTAACACAAGTGTGTAAAATGTATACAGCAAACAGCTGTGATCTCCCGAAGTGAAGGAGGATGAAGGAAACGGGCACACGTTGTGTGCTGCTTGCCTCATTAGGCTTTCTGGCTTGAGTTAAGGCAGCAGGCAAAACAGCAAGAGGTCCAAAGCTCATATTTGGTCATTTTGAGCAACTTAAACTGAGCCCACAAGCCATGCATATATCTTATATAACCTTATCACTCTTAGGGGTACAGGCCAAACCTCACAAATCCCTGTGACCCAGGAACTTCATAATGAACACAAAACAGCCATAACTTAAAACAGCAGTGACTGACATGCCTGGCTCTCCGGGACTTGGTGCGGAGGACTCAGTAGGCTGCTATCTCTAGCATTGTGCTTCTAATTTATAGATTTGCTTTTCTACTTGCCCAATGTTATAGCAGTTTTTTAAAATGCCACCCATTAAAAACACACGGGGAAATATTAATATAGCTCCATAGTCTATGTAACATAAACACAATCTGGCAAATGAAACGTGAACCCTCGAGAGAGTAAGGGTTGCCTTTAGTTATGATGAAGAACAAGGACGAGGACACAGCAGGCACAGTGGTGACTTGGCAGAGGGAAGACACACTCACTCGGGATACGCAGGGTCCAGGATGCGCAGCATCAGCTGAATGAGAAGGCCATAAAAATTCAGACATCTTCTCAGGAAGCTCTCGTCAAGTAAGCCAGCGTCAGCACAGGCCTTGCACCGTACCAGTTTCTGTGGAAGTAGGTGTGCCCCCACCCACAGATTAGTCTGGAGCCAAGGCCCCTCACTGTGACTAGGCAGGGAGAGAGGCCAGGAGCTAAGACCAGACTCTAAGTTCTAGAGTGTCTAGAGTGCCCTCTCCAACTAGCTACGGGACACTGGCTGTTGTGCCAGGTCTTTCTCTTGAAAACAGTAGGATGCCATGCAAACCATCGAACACAGAGGACCACACGCAGCTAGTGCGAGGTTAGTCACTGATAACACTTCTCAAGGACCTGGATGGGGGATAGGGTTGACTGGGAGGCCCTCTGTGTGTCAGGAAAATTAGTGGAAAAAACCAGATAAATTGAATCTGACTTTCCACACCAGCACTTATGTGCCGCCCTCGAGGCCGCTACACCCCAGAGGACTGCCATGAGAATAAGATCCACACAGACGGACACCGCGCTAAGTGGATTCCAACAGTGTATTACAGGTCCCTTGAACTGCAACTGTGAAATACTAAGGGGGTACAGATCTGAAAGGGGAGCCCTGGCTTATTCTGCATCCTGTTGTTAAGACAGGGCCTCCTTCTGTGGCCCAGGCTGGCCTTAAACTCAAAGCTACCCCTGTCTCGGGCTCCAAAGTGTGGGGGTTACAAGTAGGAGCCACTATGGCCATCTCTACTTTGGATCTTAAAAGTAGTCTAGTCTATTAGCAAATGAAAACCTGAAATCTCAGCCTGTCACATAAGTCAAAGCGATACTTTTCTCTGTAATTCCACCAAGCATGAGCAGCCAACAGTCAGCTTTACAGTCTGAACGTAGCACAAAAAGGTGCACACATGCTTCTCTGCTTCCTGAGCAAGGTCAGCCAGTGTGTGTGTTTAGCTGGGTTTTATCAGCAGTGATATTGCTGTCTGCAGTTAGGTTCTATGTAACAGATCGTTTTCAATTAGAAATGGCAAACAAGGGAAGGGAAGGAGATCTTTAGCACAATGCACTTGTCAAACACCATGGCCATGAGTGGCTGTGTGTACTAGAGCGTGTGTGTGGCGGGGAAAGGGTCTTTCACAAGGCTGAGGACGAGAACTTACTACGAATTCATGGTATAGGCATATGTGTATTCTCTATTGGGATTTAAATAATCTTATATAGAAATATTCAAGGTATCAACAAGTTTTAAATTAACCTGTTTTACCTTGAGGGAAAAGAACGACAAAGAAAAACTAAGGACATACGACTGTTCATCAAGATGCTTATTCTGGGGTAAAGGTTACAATTGTGAGGCCAGTCCGTGATTATGCCAATTAACGGTACAAACCTTAAGCTGAGTTTTACAGCGTTTCAGCATTTCTCGGTGTCTGGGGGCCAGTGGGGAATCTTTCCACTGGCTTTCGTTACTTTTCAAATCTTCCACAGTTCTGAAATGAACAAACAAAGCACACTAACAATCAAATAAAAGAAAATACCCAAGTCCATCGTATCTATTCACCATTCCATGGACTCTCTGACGTAATTCTTTACACACTTAGGAATTTTAAAAAGTAGAGTCCACAGGCCAGACATGGTGGTGCATGAGTCCAATCCCAGCACTAGGGAGGCCCAGGCAGATGGAGCTCTGTGAGCTCAAGGCCAGCATCATCTACATAGGGAGTTCCAAGATAACCAGAGTTCCACATAGATTCAGTCTCAGAACAAAATAAAATACAAAACCAGAGCATATCCTACTATAGTAAGTTCTGGATTAATTGATGCATTTTTTAAAATTTCTGGTTGTTCATAAAATAATAATGTGTCTTCTGGGGGAAAGAAGTGTTTTAAGACAGGATTTCTATGTATAACCCTGGCTATCCTGGAACTCAGAAATCTGCTAAATAAGATTTATTTATTATGTGTGTACACAGTGTTCCACCTGCATGTCAGAAGAGGGCACCAGATCTCATTATAGATGGTTGTGAGCTACTATGTGGGTGCTGGGATTTGAACGTGGGCTCTCGGGAAGATAGCCAGTGCTCTTCACCTCTGAGTCGTCTCTCCAGCCTTGCTATATGTCTTCATACACTTGGACGGTAGGTGCAGGCAGATTCTTGTGAGTTCACAGTCATTTCAGTGAGTTCCAGGCCAGAGCTCCATGAGACACTATCCACCCGTCTACTGTCTACATCCACCACCCTGAACAAAATTGCACTTGAGATATGATGAACTATAATCCTCTTCTGCTACCCTACTGCACTGAGAGGTTAACAAGAACTTTCTTGTAGCATTTCTAAGCTCTTCTGCCTCATCAACTGTCAAAGCAAATGGCATTTTACCAATGGCAGTTCCTGCTCTCCTTAGTTGGCTCTCCCTCTACCTGAAGTGGGCCTCTCTAGCTGCTTCAGTTCCTTCTAGGTGACTGCTTCTCTCTAAGGTACCTTGGCTCTTTCTAGGTGCTTCTCGAACAACTATTATGGGGGGACCATCGTCATTACTTAACATGCCGCCTATTCTAAACACCTGCTTACTTCCCAGGACTCCACAATTTCCTCATGATACTGTATAGAAAATCAGAGACTGTTAAACTCTAACATCACAGTTCCCTGATTCCTTATATCATATCACTGAATCTCCAAGTGGCACAATACTGTATTGAGCACTGAAGATGAAGATGTCCAGTGGGGTCAGTGGGAGTCATGGGATCTCAGATGACAATCTATCCCAAGGGGAAGAAACACTCTAATCCACAATCATAGCTTGACGTTTATAAAAACCTCTTTTTGTAAATATTTTTAATTTTATCTTACTTGCTTATTTTGTGTGGGGACAGAGGACACCTCGCAGGGGTCAGCTCTTTTGTTCCACACTTTGGGTCCAGGCACTAGACTGAGAGTGCCAGGCTTGGTGGCCAGTTTCCTCACCCACTGAGGACATGTGCCATGTCCACAGTCTTTAGTGGCTGATATTAAAAGTGGATAAAATTAGCCAAGGCGAGGAAAACATGAGAAAGATGAACAAGCATGGCTGGCTTCAAAAGCCCAAAACCACACAGGGCATATCACATCAGCTAGACATAGCACATTCAATGCAATTCAGCTAGGAAACATAGTAAGAGTCAACCCCACCCCAAAGTGTAACTATAAAAACTGTGAATGAAATAGTGCTAAGCTAGGCACACTTCTAATTCCAACAACGTGGTGTATGTGTGTCAGGGAGGGGGTACTCAGAGGCAGGTGGATCTCTGTGAGTTCAGTGAGTTCCAGGGCTGTAAGTTAGACTCTTTACCAATGGGGAGAATGTAGGTGGATCTACTACTGTGAGTCAAATTTACCACCCAGCTCTGGAAAGCTGTTGGGTCCATGCTGTCAACTGAGTCTGCCTCCCAAAAACCCCATTTACATGTTTTGTAGCAGAGCCTCTTAAAGGAGCTGCATTCATGTTAGCCACTAGTACCAAATAAGCCTTCTCTTAAAGGAGCTGCACCTCTGTTTATACTTAGTTTCGATCCTACCCAAGAAACAGCCATTATCAGGAAGCTGTGTTTGGCTCCAATTTGTAAGTTTAAAAACTTTAACCTTTCCTCAGGTTTTATCTAGATGTTTTATCAGGTTTTTGTGGATGTAGATGCCCCACATTGGGTGCCATATGCAGGTGGAGTTTCTCTGTCAGAGCGACTGCTCCCAAATAGCCATTCAGAGTCGTATTATTAGTTATAAATGTTCAACCAATAGCTCAGACTTGTTATTAGCTAACTCTTATACCTTAAATTAACCCATATTCCTTATCTGCATTCTGCCACATGGCTCGAAAACTTTCCTCAGTAAGACAAATTCATCTCCTCTCTGTGTCTCCTTCAGATTCTGAGAGACTCCTCCTCTTCTCCTTCGTGCTCTTTGTTCTGCAGGTTCCCCCCAACCTCTACCTGTCCAGGTACAGGTCACTCAGCCTTCTTACTAACCCAATCAGTGACACATGTTCACACAGTGTAAAGGAATATTCCACACTTGTCTGTCAGATATACTTGGACTTTGGCCTCAAAGCTGAATAACCCAACATTATTGAAGAACTTTGGGTGACTGTTGAGGCAGCTACCTGTTTCTGTCATCTCATAATTTTGGAAATCACTTGCTCTGAACTTCTTGTTTACTCAGATAATATTATATCCTTCTCGGGTCTTTGATGGGGTTGAAGATGAGACAGCTATAGTTACAGTTATCCCTAATAATGGTAGAAAGTAAATTAGGTACGAAATTCTGGACTTTCCAGGAGAGGACAGCTGGTGGAGTATTTTCTCTATTTTGCCAAATACAAATGGACTAGATATTGCAATTCTAATTCTTACTTGATAACTGTTTTTATTGTATATCATTTTACTATGTTAAAGTTAAAACCTTCCCCTTTTTTGGTTTTTCAAGACAGGGTTTCTCTGGTTGTCCGGGAACTTGCTCTGCCTCCCAAGTGCTGTAATTAAAAGCATGAGCCCCTATTGTCCGGCAAAACCTTCCTTTTTAATTAAATAAAAATGGGGAAATGTGGAATATGCCTTTACAGTGTGTAAAATATAAAATTTAAGAATTAGCTAATAACAAGTCTGAACAATCGGCTGAGCATTTAATTAATAGTCTCTGAATGGTAATTTGGGTACATCTGCTGAGACACAGATAAACTCTACCTACAGGAAAAAGAGAAAGAGAGAAAGGAAAAGGGAATGGGAGATACTGACTGACACAGACAAGGAGACCTTGAACCTTGTCTCCACTTCACAAGTGCAGAGGTGCCAGAGAAGGATGCCACCATGCCCAGTGTCATAACTTTTGTTATAGCATATTTATAATTGTTCTATTTTGTTATTAGTTATTAATCCCTTAGTGTACTTAATTTATCAATCTGTATCATAAACATGTATCCGTAAGAAAACATTACAAGTAAGGTTTTGTAGCATTTACAGTTTAGGCATCCATTAGTGGTTTCAGACTTCTGTTTAATGCTGATTTAGACAAAACTGCAGGTTGGGGCTGGAGAGACAGGGCAGCTGTTGAGCACTGCTGCTCTCAGAGATTAGCATCCCACTTCCAGCACCAACATCGTGGCTCACAAGTGTCTGTGACTCCATGTTGAGAGGATCCAATGCCCTCTTCTGGCCTCTGAGGGTACCACGCTCAAGTATGGTACACATACACACATGCAGACAATACACTTATATACATAAAATTAAAACAAATCTTAAAACAACAACAATAACAAACAAACAAACCCTGGGGCAAAAGAGGTGGCTCAGGGGTTATAAACACTGTTTATCTTGCAAAGGATTTTCGTAAATTTTCCAGCACCTACATGGTGCCACATTCATGTGTAACTCCTGTTCCAGATCTGATTTCTTCTGACCTCCATGGGCACTGTACACATGTGGTGCACAGACATACATGAAGGAAAAACACTCATATATATCAAATAATATTAAATAACTCTTAAAAAAAAGAATCTAACAAATTCCTTCATAAATTTATAGCTGGGCTGGAGAGATGGCTCAGAGGTTAAGAGCACTGGCTGCTCTTCCAGAGGTTCTGAGTTTAATTCCCAGCAACCACATGGTGGCTCACAACCATCTATAATGAGAACTGGTACCCTCTTCTGGTGTCCAAGCATACATGCAGGCAGAACACTGTACATAAATAAATAAAGATTGAAAAAAAATATATTTATAAGTCAAGCAATTAAATGTATAGAAAAGAAAAAGGACTGTGACCATCTACAAATAACACAATTATATGTGGAAACCAAACTTTTTAAGAATCTACAGAGTCATTGGGCAGTGGTGGCAGGTGCCTTTCAACTCAGCACTTGCAAGGTAGAGGCAGGTGGATCTCTGTGAGTTTGCAGCCAGTCAGGTCTACAGAGGGAGTTCTAGGTCAGTCACAGCTACAAGAAAAAACTTGTCTCAAACAAACAAACAAACAAACAAACAAAGGAGCCTAGAGTCAACTATAGTAAATAGTCAGAATGTATAGTTATAGATATTCAATGACAGCTTCTTTGAAAGCTGTACTAGACTAGAACCGAGGTTGTTTCAATGGCCTGTTCAACTAATGTCTGTTCCTGGGATATTATTGGCTTGCAGAAGCTGGAGCACCAGGAAAGCTGATTTGATGACTGACAACTGGAGCCGCTAGTCAGACACAGACAACAGGGCAAAGGGGGATTACATGTTTCCTTGATTACCACGGAAAACAGGGTTTGACAGTCCAGGGCAAGAAGGTATGCCAAGAAGGCAGGAGCTCCTCAAACTGGTTGCTGGTAATGTTCACACCCAGCGGAAAGTTTTTAGCAACCGCATCCAGAGGTGAACACCAAGGGCTCAGAGATCAACCTCTGCACCACTTTATCACATACAGAGCACAGGACAAACAGGAGGCACCAGCACGGTAGTAGAGGCAGATAGAATACTGCAATGCATCAGATCTACTGACCACAGCAGAGCTTGTGCCTAAGAGGTAGCAGTAACAGTAACCAATGCCAGGGCAGGGATCATGGCACATACCTGTTGAGCTCTCGGATGGCTCGTAGTCTGCGGATGTAGCGACGACAACTAGGCAGAATAGAGAGGTGGTGAGCGTGCAGGGTGAGAAAGAAACATTCCGTAGGGAATTTTGGCTCAGAAAATGGAGGCTGATCTCCATCTAGAATAAAAGCAATAACAAGCATCCTTAACTAAAATCAATTACAAGCCTTAAGGAAAACGTTCTATTCTGAAGGGAAATCGGTAAAGAATACTTTCTGTATGCATGTTTTTGTGATGTAAGGACATATTTTGCATCTGCATATGTGAAACTGTCTTGTGTCTTTGTATAGCTTATTTTTTGAGATTGGTTGCCTATCTCACTGAACTCAGGTATTACCAACAGACAAGCTATAGTCAATGACTCGGATTGTCCTGTCTTCTTCCATCAGTGCTGGGAATGACAGATGTGCACCGCCATGCCCAGCTTTTCTGTGGCTGCTGGGAAGGTGAGCTCATGTCCTCACGCTTACATGGCTGCACTTTCCTGACCGAGGGAGCCCTTCCCCAGTCCAAGCATTTTCGTTCTTTGTTTTCTTCCTTTTTCTTTTTTCCTTTCTTTCCCTTCCTTTTTTTTTTTCTTTTTTTTTTTTTTTGAGACGGGGTCTCTTTCTGTAGTTCTGGCTGTCATGGAACTCTTTATATAGATCAAGCTGTCCTTGAACTTACAGAGATCTACCTGTCTCTGCTTCTGTGGTGCTTAGGTTAAAACCATACAACACTATCGCCAGCCTCCAAGAATATTTTTTAAATGACAAACCTAAGTGACACTGTGAGAAAACCAAACTCCTACGTGATTTAATTAAAGGCCCTGTGCCCTGTCTTAGCTGATTGGATGTTTATAGAGATCAACCTTTTATGATATGTCTTCCTAATATATCCTACAATATCATCTTCATTTCCCAAGGTGTACACATCACTTCAATCTGACAATGGTATTAGGCCATATTAATCTACCACAGTCATTTTCCCACATGCTTGCTTCCCTACTTTCTAGGAAGAACTATGTACTTTGAACATCAACTTTTGGAGTACAGACAGAAAGTAGAATCACAGAGAGAATATCATTACATAGTAGGTTTTGGGTTTTGTTGTTTATTTGTTTTGCAGTTGTTTTGGTTTGGTTTTGGTTTTTCCATACAGGGTTTCTCTGTGTAACAATTCTGGCTGCCCTGAGAGTTGCTTTGCAGACCAGGCTAGCCTTGAATTCACAGAGACCCGCCTGCCCCTGCCTCCTGGGTGCTAGGATTAAAGATGTGCGCCACCACCGCCCAGCCACATATGTAGTAGTTTTTAATCAGTATGTAACGACTCACATACAGGGCAGAGTTGGTATTTACCACGTGTGTATAGTATGTCATTTGAGCATTTATCCTATCTTTGTGCTGGAAACAGTCAACCCCCCTATGCAGCTTTTAAGAAACATGCACTGAGCTACTGCTGACCACTGCTACCCTGCTGTGCTAAAGACCATTAGGGGTGATTTCTCCTGCGCAACTGTGCCCTTAACCAGTTGCAATGTTCAGGGGCAGTCTTGCTGCTTAGGAGACTGAGGCAAGAGGGTTGCTTGAGTCTAGAAACTTGAAGCTAGCATGGATAACACAGGAAATCCTTAACTTAAAAACTAAAGCAATCCAGTCCACTGCTGCCCTACCACCATCCTGTGTTCCCCCTTCCCCTGTCCACTGCTGCCCTACCACCATCCTCTGTGTGCCCCCTCCCCCGTC